GACGTGAAGAAGGGAGCAAGTTGCATGTGGGGGAAAAAAACTCACCTGATTTAAATGTCACACCTTAACGCTCACATCCTTTTAATTATGTTTGAAATTATGAACATTGCTCAACATCATGAAAATTAAACCTTATTTTCAATAAGCAATCCTGAAAAATATTTGGGGGTGCTTAACTTTTTTCCAGGTGTATATTAACAAATTTAAACTTATCCTAATTTTATACTTAAACGTGCAATGTTCTATGTCTGCTATATAACCATAAGATAATCTCTCTATAATAAATAAATTTTTTTTTCTTATATTACAGAATTTAATAGTGATAGTGACAGTAATAGTAACAGTGATGAGCCAAAGAGAAAAAAGAAACGTCTAAGTCGATGGGGACCTCAAGACAAGACCTTGCCAGCACCTGGAGTGGCTGGAGTGCTAACAACTGGAATAATGAATTCTCACTTTCCAGAATTTGTTAAGCATGGTAAGTTGTTAAAATTCTATAACACTTAAGATTCAGTAAAAAAAACTTACAAAGCCTGCAAAACAATTGTATGATATATTTAGTGGTAAACATTTGAGCAATTTATAGATGTGGTGGCTGTGAGTTCTAACCTAGACTCTGAACTTGCAAAACTCATTTTGTTTTCCCAAAAATTTCATTAAAGTTTGTCCTGAACAATTTAAGCCTAGGCCACAGAAGCTTTAAATATCAAATACCCATACTTTTTCACCTTTAGGATTAAAATGAATTTCAAACAGAGGTAGACTTGCCACTTAAATAACAAAAGCCTTTCCTTATTGAGTTTCTTCTCATGCTATCAACAATCATATGACTGAAAATTTCTGGAAATCATTGATGAATGCATAGCATGCAGCAACTTAATCATAATTCTTCACTCTCACACCCTCCACTTATTGCACTTGTGTCAGGAGATTTGTATAAGCTCTGCTTTCCTAACCATAATTCAGATTTCTGAGTTGCAGTCATGATGGAAAATCACATATGGCCCAGTTATGTGAAATCTTCAGAACGTCCAGATAGTTATCAAATGTTTCTTAAGAAAAAACTTTATATTTTATCTGTTATTTTCAGTAACAAATCTCTGTACTGGTTTTGGTTGATTTGACCGATCTCGTAACCACCATAAAAAATTTGGAAACAAATATAAATTATGCCTTTTTCATTCTAGAATAACTACAAATTATAACACGAAAACACAAATGTTTAGACTAAATAGCTTAAATTTCATAACATTATACATTTATATATTAATTATTTTTATTATATTGACCTTCCAGCCGAGTCTGGCTAACAATACAGAAGTTACAATGTTGCGGTGCACATGCACTCGTGATACTGTATCCAGTAATATATAACTGACCTTTAGTCTTTATAAAGTGACCTGTCTTGGCTGTGGACTAGTATTTTATAAAATACAGTCATATTTCAATTATTGTACATTATATATGTATATACATTAATACAAATTACAAATAACTTCTTAAGCTTATTTTTCTTAAAACATAGAACAATAAATAAAGAAGTAAAGCAAACAATCTTCTCTTCTAGTTACGTTCTTTGTACTCATTTTCTACTTGTCCTAGGTTGCTAAACCTTATAAAATTTCACGCGTGGAGGATGTGAAAAAAATATGAAATTTCAAGCAAACTAAAGAGTCGCCTTACCAGCTTGAAGATTTGTATTGAAAGAATGGGATGATGTTGTAATACTTGAAAATGGCTGAGAAAGCTACTAGCAGGAGATTCTGATTTGATTGGTTCTTCACTTGTCATAGACAGATATATCAAACATGCTCACCTTTTTGGCCGTGGAGGGCATTATAATGTGACGGTCAATCCCACTATTCGTTGGTAAAAGAGTAGCCCAAAAGTTGGCGGTGGGTGGTGATGACTAGCTGCCTTCCCTCTAGTCTTACACTGCTAAATTAGGGATGGCTAGCGCAGATAGCCCTCGTGTAGCTTTGCATGAAATTCAAAAACAAACAAACAGACAGAAATAAGTGTATATAAGGGAGTGTTTCCAAAAGTGAAAAGAGATGATCGTGGGGCCACTGTGTTTGATTCAGTACATGAGCGATATTTTATATTCTAGCTTTTTAATATCAGTAATTTGAGTTCCTAATTCATATGAAACTATAGACTTTGTATTCTGACATCACAAACATCTAATTTGAACCAGTGCTGCATTTTACATACCATGTGATACACAAAAATTGGTGTTTAAGTGTGCTTTTTTAATATTTAGTTTTACATTAAGTAATATATAATACTAACATTTGAATTATAATTTACAGTTGACTTAACTTGTTCATATAAATAACTTCATAAAATAGTAGTTCAATAAAATTTTAAATACAACAAACGGAATCATATGGCGTTTGATCCGTGACTCGTGTGGACAGGGTTAAGAACACGTATCCTACATTAGATATCCTTTATGTCAAATAAGGATGTACATGTTGAGGTGGGAGAGGTACTTGCCAAAGCAACATCAGACACCATATAGCATCTTCTGTCCACTTCCAGAGGGCATTGCTTTCTCGTGGAGCACCTGCAAAGATAATAGAAATGTGTTTAGGAAAAAAGCAGATATTAATTAACATGTGTACATCCCTACTTAACAAATATATATATAAATACAGAATCTCCTCAGAATAGGATACTGATAATTATGCTTATATGATAAGGACAAATTCAGAAAGCCCTAACTGAAATACACTGTATAAATTTAGAATCTCTTAAGACAGGAGATACTTTTTTTTTAAGCAAATGACTTCTAAACTTTAAAGATGGTATTCTAGGCACTTGCATATGAAATAAGTGAAAGGATCAAAAAAGGTCATAAAAGAGTGCAAACAAGAAGAATATGACTTCTGCAACATCTAAAGCTGGCAGAGAGTGTGGCTTTATAGTCTACAGTAGAAGCAGATAAGCCACAATCATAGAAAATGAGCCATTCTGTTGCGGAGTTGAAGGAAGACCAGAAGCAGCATTTCTAATGCACCAAACTCCTGAAAATAATCAAACAAGATTGGTATATGGCCAGGGTTGAATGTCTGCAAGTGTGTTACAAAATTCAAGCTACTCAAGGAGAGGATCCAGTTTCTCTAATAAAAGACTGCATAAACAGTCACCCTAGAAGATGTAAACAGTGAACATTATTTTCTAATATGGGCATTCAAGGCTGTCATAAGTATTATGAAGGCCCCTTTCTGTAAAAGGTTAGAAAATTCTGGTCATTAAAAATTTGTTCATGAGCTGGATCAAAGAATACTTGTGAAAAGCAAGAAATATAGTGCTTACTGTACCTTCTTTCTTTTGCTGACGACTGTCGATGTCACTTTACCATATATTTTTATACTGATGATAGTAGTGCACTAACTAATTTTTATTTAATTAGATATAATGTACCAAAGAACATAGAATAATAATATGCAAAAAACAGACAATATCCCATAACTATCACATTTTTTTTCTGGCTTTATAACTATGTGACAAGAGCTGTTGCAAATTCATCCAAGCTGGTCGATATGTTTCCCAAGTTAACAAAGCTTGTATTAAAAGAAATATTTACAATTTTGTGTACAGAAAGCAATGTAATATAATACCCCATTTGATATATGAAAACCTTGGCTTACTATTGGTTATAAATAATATAGTATTAAATGTAAGAGAGAACTATTAACAAATCCTGAAAGATAGGATGTGACAGATGGGTGTGGCAAGTGGGATCGGATATTCTATGTGATGGCTCTTTAACCAAACAAGATTGGAAGCTAATAAAATTATGCTTTATCAGAGTGGTGACAATATTATGGTGAGTAATTTATGTTAAATTTTGTACTTATTGGAGAGGTGATGAATAAATTACAAAAGAGGGGATGTCTGGAGAATAAATGTCACATTTATCACACTAGGGGAAATTTATATTTTTTTTTAGTATTGTCTTATAAACTAAAGAACTTAAAACTAGTATATTATTAAAATATGGCTTATTAGCTAGTTTTATGCTATATTACTAGGTATAACATAAACAAAAAGTAGTGTAATTAAATTTTGAATGCAACTCTAAAACCCACATGACATGCACAGTAAAGGATGCCTGTGCAGAGAGTGTTAATGGATTAAACTTGCTTTAGTCTTGAAAGTTTTTATTTTGATCATTCTATTTCATATATCATTGGCCAAGGGGTAAGAGAGCTATAAAGACACATGTTTGTGGAAGTTCTGTATCTATTTATAATCCCATAACACACTGTAAGTGAAGTAATATTAAAATACTTAAAGGGTGTTTGTCAGTTTGGCCATTATATCATTGAACTGTTTTTTTATCTTGCAGATCAAGGTTTGATCAAATATGCAGTCCAAGTGTTTGGTAGAACAGATCTGACACTAGAACAGTGGAAACAATTGGAGGATCAAAGGAAGGTGGGATATTTTCAGTCCATTTTTGAATTAATGTATCAAAAGTATATGTTTTTCAAAATTTTCATCTAAAATGGGAACTGCTGGTGCAGAAATTTTAACTCTCTGCACTCTAAGAGCTGTTACCTCACATGCAAATGCTGTGGAATTTCATGTGCATGCCACAAACCGTGAACAAACTCCTACCCCTACATATGTATATGTGTATTGTGACAGTTGTAGCCCTCCACCAATAAAAGGGTGACAGCCTTCATGCAAAGTAGACCCTATGAGACACTAGCACATGGTCATAGGCTCATTCTTTCTGTGGCACTGCTTATGCTTAAACGTGCATTTAGAGCTGTCACTGTGATAACTGCTTTTTTATTAATTTTTATATTACTTTTATTGTTGTTATTAAAAAATAATAATTTGCTTATTGAGTTGTTGATTTACTATGTATTCTCATATCCACATTGCTTTTAGGTCTTGAGGCTCTCATGTTCCTCTTCAAAAATCTTTTGCACTTGTATCTGTGGTGACTGGCAACACATTGTCTGTTTGTAATGTTACCACTCTTGTGCATCAGGTGGGTAGTTTTCATCTACTTACTTTTTTTCTCTTGTTCCAGTCCCTAATCATTCTGTTTCATTGCCTTCTATGGAACATGCTTCATCTGTGGATAACTAACCCTTTGCTATATTTTTCACCTTACCAAAGCTCTCCATCTTGACCGTTTCTTATTTTTTTGCCTTGGCTTATGTTTCTTCCTCTGTTTTCTCTACTTTGACCTGATTTCTTTGTTTATAAGGTCTCCTCAGATGAGATGCTTTCCTTTCAGATATCCATCTCCCTTTTTCCTATGTCTGTGACCTTCAACTGGTCCTTTTTCTTATAGACCAATTCTGTGGAGGTGTACCAAACTCCTTGGAATCCTGGGCTGAAGCTGCTCACCAGTAATCTTTCATTACTTTCTTGGTTTTCCAACTCACTAAATCTTGGGTACCTCAGTCTGATACTCATCCTCAGGAATCATGTCAGGCTAATGCCTCTCCTATTCCTTGCTCAATTGTTTTTGTTGCCCCCACCCCTCTCCTTTAGAGCAGACTGTTGCAGCTCTCAGCCATTACTTTTCTTTGGGTCCAGTCCTCGGTTCTGGGTCTGTCTGTGACTGCCTTCCCCACTTTACCTACCTCTATTCTTTCTTCTCCAGTAATCCTTGGATTGTGCAAGTTATTTTTTGTGATCTGTTCCTGCACTTTCATACTCTACCTCCTCTTTCCCATCATCTCCTCTCCCCTTCCCTCTGATCTTCTGCATCTTCATGGTGCAATGAACAATAAAACCTATCTCCCACACCATTAGGGACTTTTATTCCTAACTCTTTGTCATCCCCAAGAAGATGAGAGATTAATGTCCAGTCATCTCTAAGTCACTTTTTCATTGTTCCTCAATTCCAAATAGACAACTTTCTCAGTCTACATTGGCCCTCTCTTCTGGGATGTTGAGACTAGTTCAACATTTCAGTTTTCTTTCTTCACATCTCTGTTTGTTTCATGTTCCATCATTTCCCCTGGTTTCTTTTTCACAATTGACAAGTATTTCAGTTCCTTGCCCTTCCATTTGGTCAAGCCACAGCCACTTGTGTTTTCAACTGGATCATGTGATCCTTTGCTTGTACATGCATCTTCTGGGCCTTCATTTCCATTATTATATAGATGACTGACTTTTCATGGCCCCATTTCAACAGGATTTGGCAAATACTACTACCATTATTCTCCAGGAGTCATCTTTACCTGGACTGTCTGGTCAAACTTTCGAAGTACATTATGACTCCTGCTCAGTGTCTTATCCATCTGGGAGTTTTTCTCAGTTCCCATTTGGGGCAGGCTTAACCCTCTCACTAGTGTCTTCTCACCATGGAGATCTTTTGTTCCCTTCTGTGGGCTTTGGGGGAGGGGATAATTAAATCCTTTATTCACCCTTGCAGCTCTCTACACCCTTCTGTTGTGGTGACTAAATCTTCAACACAACCTGGGGTACTTGTACTTCCCCTCCCCTCAACCTGACTTACTTTTATACCTTGATGCTTTTCTTTCTCTACACCAGCATTTCCTTTAGGATCTAGTCGCCTGAGGCGCGTCTTTGCATACCAACATTTTCAAGATGACTGCAGGTTATCAGGCATGCCAACTTCTTCAGTCGCTATTGTTAGGTCATCTTGTGATGATCCACTCAGAGGACTTCACAATTGTTTCGTACATCAACTGCAAGAGTTGTACCCTCTCTCTGTACCTATGCTTTTTCACCTTGGAATTCCTTTATTGGGCCAATAATCATCATATTTGCAAAGGTTTTTGAAATTGATGACAGATTACTTGTTTCAACTGGACAGGATCCACCCCACGGAGTGGTCCGTACATCCTTAGTCTTCCAGTGAATTTGTTCTTGTATCATGACTCCACTGGTTGAATGCTGTTTTGGCTCCTTTCAATTTCAAGTTTCCTCTTTTTTCATCACCGGTCCTCAACTTAACTTCTCTGGCTTTCAATGCTCTGAGCCAGGATTGGTCCAGTCACTCTTTTATTGCCTTCTACCCTAGGTATTCTTATTTGCAACCATCTCTTTCCACGTTTTTGTGATTGTTCCTATTTGGCTGGATCAGTCATGGTTTTCATTTTTGTATCACTTGTCATTTGAGGAACCTTTTTTCCTCTCTCTTTGGAAGTTCATCCTCTACTAACTTTGGTCATCCATTTTTCACAATGAGATGTTGCACCTTTGCCTTCACACATGTGGGACTTGTCCCTTGTAAGACAAATGGGATCTTCCCATAGGATAGCACTTTTTCTTTCTCATTCTTGTTGGCCTTCTGCTCTAGCTCATTATCAACAAAATGAGCTGTTTACCACTACTGATCCCTTCCATCACTCTCTTCCACCAAGTTGGCTTACTCTTCCACATCTTACTTCCTTTACATGGCTTTACGACAAGGATGAGTCTGTTTCAACTATTGCAGATTGCTGCAATATTATTATCCACAACTTTCTGTCTCTTGCCAGGCATCAATTCCTTCCTTTCACTTGTTTTCACTCACCTTTTTGTTGTTTTTTTATACATCACCTCCATTGCTCAGTCAGTCCCTCTTCCTGACTGGGACCTTTGTTGGTTCTGTGGGCTTTTACATGCCCCTTTTTGAGCATTGGCCTCCAGTTCCTTATATTGTTTGTCTTTGAAAATATAAATAAAATGTAATTAATAACTGAAAATAACAGATAAAATATAATGTTTTTTCTTAAAAACGTTTGATAACTATCTCGACATTATAAAGATTTCACATGTGAAATTTCAAAATTTTCTGATGCTTAAAAGTATTTTTAACCCTAAAATTAATATTACTTTGCATGATAGATAGGCAACATACGAAAAGGAAAAATAGACAAGAGAAAAATGTTGCTTTATTAATCTTAAGACTTAATAAAAAAAAATTATATTTTGTGTATGAAAGCATTGTAATGTTTATTGATAATCTGCCAAATTTTGTTAACATTTGCTTAATAATTTAAAAGTTACAGCATGAAAACTATAACAAGCACAAAATGGTTAAGAGGTCAGTCCCAGGGACCGAGCCCATGCTGAAAGGAAATATTTAAATAAATTTTACATATTCACTTCTTCATACTTTTCAACTTTCACTACAAATTAGTGTTAAGGTAGAGAAAATAATAAAGTATAAAGTTTTACCAAAAACAAACATTTGATATTCATTTAGGAGGTTCTAGAGGCTGTGCAAATGAAATATGGAAACTGTAAGGTGAAAAGATATTTTTCATGAAAATCACCTTTCACTCACTGATTCAGGAAAAACTTCTTTAGATCACAGACAAATCTTGAGTAATAATCGTTTGTTAGAAAATCAATTTGTTTGTGTACAACAGACTCGTAATGTTTACTAAAAGCTTACCAGATTTTGTGAAGTTATACTTAGTACATTCAAAGTTACTACAGTGTGTATAGTATTATGGTTACATGGTAGTTACAAGGTTGGTCAAAATAAGTGAGCCCATATATAAAGGGAGTTATAGAATTCAATAGCATTTAGCTTGTGACATTTACCAAAGTTCATGCTATCTTATCTCTTTGCTACTGCATATATCTTCATTAAAGGATCAGTCATATCCATTCTTTTACAAATTGTATGATATTTCATCTTTACATCTATCACCTATCGTGAATACAAACTGTTTCTGTCTAAGTGATTTTTGCAGCACCAAACTCCAGCAGAGTTACCAGTACCATCCATAACAAATACGAGCTCATGCTTCAAGTGGTACAACAGTAATCTGAGTACATCTTGGGCACATAATACATTTGGTATAGCTGTTACATAGTGAACTGATGCTCAAACTTAAATGTTTAGAACTTGTACTATCTGATTTTTTTTAAGGATGCACCAAAAGTATGGAGAAGGAGCATAGCTTTGATCATTTCATCTGGAGGGAGATCATCAAGAAAATGCATTTGAAATAATTGTACTGTTGGTGACATTTGGTACAAATGTTCCTTTGTGCAAACATATCCTGTAGTAATTCCATTACTAATTAAATAACTTACAAAATAAATATTTTCTTTTTGATCATAACTTGTAACCAGAGTTCCCATAGCTCCTTTTTCTTTTCCCTTGGTTGATATTCCTGACATCCATTTCATTCACTAAAATATGTGTCTTTTTAGATGAGTGTTCTGTACCAAATGATGGAAGCTAAGCAAAAACAGAATGAACAGCTAAGAAAAGCTGGAAAGGTTAGGTATGATTATGACTCTGATGAAGAAACAGAAGGAGGTACATGGGAACACAAAAAACGTGCTGTGGAAATGGAAAAGACAAAAGGTTTCTAGCACTAAATATTTGTAGAATAATTTTAGGAAAGTTTTTAATTCCAGTTTGATTTTGTGATAATAAAAAGAAAGTGTCACTGTTCTAAAATTAACAATGTATAGGTAATCACAAAATAGGTTGGGTTTTAATATCTTGTATTAAACTTGTTTCAGCAAGCACATTTTTAGTTAGTAAATGCCATTTTTGACACTTGACTGCCTGAACAATTATTTTTAGTTCCTTTTATAAACATGAAGTTGGTTGAAATTTATCATTCTAAGCAGAGAAAATGCACGTAGAGGATAATTAATCTAAACTTTGTTGATGAAATTGTAGCTAAGTAATTTCTTTCAAAAATGCTAGGATTTTATTTTATTATAAAGGTTGTAAGAGAATAAAAAATAAACATTGTTTTTATTTTTATCATGATTTTTAAAGGTGTTATTATTTAAAAATGAAAAAATAAATGTATACAAAGTGTTCTGAAATTAATTGATTCAGTTTGTTAAAGCTGTTGATGCTTCTGTAGAGTTTCTGAAAAACAAGCATTTAGTTCTGATTAAGTCATTTGTGTAGCTTTACATGAAAAATTTAAAAACCCATTTTAATCAAGAAAAGAGACCTAAGATAATAAATACAAAGGTTGGCCTTTAGTGTAGAGACTTTAATGGCATTTTAAATATTTTAATATGTTGAACTTTGATGTAGTCTCTATACACAGGGTTGAAATATATGTTCAGACATTGTTTTATGTATGTATTGATATAATAAGATGGAAAAATACTTATCAATACAAATATGAAGAAATGTTTTAGATATTTAACGTATTCTGTTCTAAATCCCATTATCTTAATAGTTTACTTATTGGTTTACACGTTATTTGTTTAGCATTATGGGTTTGATTTGTCTTAACAATATAATTTCAAAAATAATTAATATTACTTTAATATAATATGAATTTTCTAAACATGTGTATCAATGTTTGATTTACGAACAACAGTGTTCCAATTTAGATTTAAATGGATTAGTAGTGAACTTGTAGGATATCTATAGCTTCTGAAGAAGCTGTAATAATGAAACATTGAGCTAATAAAGTTTCATTCTAGAGATATAGGCCATGATTTTATTTACGTGTGCAGGTGGGAAATATATATAATTCTATTACAATTTAGGAAAGGAGCAAAAATCAAAATTATGATAAAAAATTTAAATATCTTTTTAATTATTTGATACAAAACAAATTTGAATAAAGTTGCAAAAACAAAATACTGTATCTGAACATTTCAGTTGTAGTTTCATTTTATGGGTGATATGAATGGTGAAATCAGACAATTTTTTTAAAACTTGTTGATATCATTTTTATTCATGAAAAACATGAAGTACCATGTTTTTTGTTCTTTTTTTTTAACTTTAAGTCAAGTTGGTGCAATTTTCTAATTTAGCTGTAGCAGAAGAACTCACTGAGTTTGGAAAAGGCAAACATCACATTGGAGATTTCCTTCCTCCGGATGAATTAGAACGGTTCATGGAAAAGTGGGATGCAATGAAAGAAGGACGTGCCCCTGACTTGTCTGACTATAAAGACTTTAAGCTGAAAGAAGATAACATTGGGTTTCAAATGTTACAGAAGTTAGGTTGGACAGAAGGCCAAGGTTTGGGAGCTGATGGTTCTGGAATCGTAGCACCTGTTAATAAGTAAGTACTTTGTCAGACAGACAGATCAGTAATTATACACAACCTGTAACATGTGTCAGGACAAATCTTCCAAAAAATATTCCTCAATGCACAAGATTTGATTTCTCAGGTACAAGTATGCAACTTTCTTATAAGCCCCCAATGTTTATTTGAGTTGCATCACCATGAAGAATCCATTTAAATTTCATTCCAAGATATAGTCTATATCACATTCCATAATTATTTTGTGAATTTTCTTTTTTTACTGTTTTGAATGCAGGAGGCTGTCTTCATGGAATACAGAATAGCTTTTTTTTTTCTAAACTGTTAATTTGCCCTTACAAAAAAATTTACAAAATGAACTTATTTTGAAACTTTCACTTGACTCATCCTTATTCACATTGCTTAGAAAGTGCTTATCTATAGACTTCTCATAGGTAATACATGCTCTTTGAAAGAGATAAGTCATTTGTCTTTTCTTAAGGTATGAAACAAATGCTTCCTCAAGCAAAAATTTCAATTGTCTTAATATATAATAAAAGAAGTATTTGTGCAGACAACTAGGTCAGTTGTTATAATCATATTAAAGTTGTTAAAGTCAAGTAGGTGTTTGAACTTGTATGAAGTGCTAACTGCATAATCATATAGATAAGTGAGTTTTCTCAATAAGGATATTGAGAATAAAGAAAGGATTGTACATTTAATGAAATTGTAATTTCACCCAGGGCAACAGCTCCGGTGGAGAAAGCAGGATTTGGACAGGGGCGTCCTGAAGAAGTTAGTGTTGGAGATGATGAGTATGAAGCCTACAGAAAACGAATGATGTTGGCCTACAGATTTCGTCCAAATCCTCTTGTAAGTTTCATGTGCTAGTTTTAAAATGTAATCACTATATCTGTGTAAAACTAGAAGAAAGAGATAATAAAAATGTAAAATGTTTTTTTGGTGTACAAAACCTTAAGATAGCTTTTATATGCAGAAACATCTGTTAGCTGAGTTGTTACACAGATCTTAAAATCTGATCTGACTCATTTTACAAGCTGTACTATTTTCTGTAGATTATTTTCCAGATGGTTCTGCTATGATTAGTGTCTGGCGAAAAACTTCAGCAGATATTTTCTTTGCAACATCTCAACCATCAGTTGGTCCAGTTATCAACGCTATTTTCAAGTTTTGAACAACTCGACTTCTAAGATCTACATGTGCCGATGTTTCCGTTTATCAACGTTATATTTTAAGATCTGTGCAAGAACTCAGCTAACAAATAATAAAAATTCTTGTCTGTTACATAAACAGGTAGTTAAGCTGATTTGTTTGTTTTTTTAAGATAACTTGTAGATATAATAATGGCTGGAAACGGCTTGAATGGGTAATGAAGAAAAACTTTAATATAACAGCAAATATACAACGTTTCGACAAGGTTTTGTCATCATCAGGTACCTATACTTGTAGATATATTATTTACATACTTTGAAAGGTTGGTTAATGTATATACATTGTTGCTGTGTTATTTTACAAAAGTAATAAATGTAAAATGCAGTCTTGTATTTGTGTAAGATTAGCAGATTTTGATAAACAGGTTAGAAAAGAACAACCTTTATACTCCAAATAACTATAAATGAACTTTATTTTGACCAATGTTTCACGTTTGCAGCTTCATTGGTGTTTGTACATACAACCTTTTAATATTATAGTATCAAACTGTTGTATGTACAAACTGATGTCACAAAGGCAAAATGTTGGTTAAAATAAAAAGTTCTTTTATAACTGTATGAAATATAAAGGTCATTTTTTTCTAAAACCTTTTGTATTAAAATATATAAATTCCTCCAGTATGCACTACAAATTTTGAAAAACAACATAACATTAGCAGGTTTTATTGCACTGTTTATTTGTTATCGAGGAGGAAATTTCAGATTGTGATATCAATATTTTTGCCATTGTCTGTACTATCTAAGTAAGATTTCATTAAAAATAGTATTTGAATTATAATCTTATTGTAATTTTTCTCTTACAGAACAACCCAAGGAGGCCATACTATTGAAAACTTAGTGTTGCACAGTACCTTTTATTTTCTTTAGCATGCTATTCAGTATAACATTCAATACAGTATTCCTAATGTATATTTGTTTTTGTCCATACTCAGGTCCTTAATTTTCTGAAGGATTTGTTACAATTACATATTAAATTCAACACTGTTTTTCTTTTACAATTAAACTTTAAAAAAAAACAATATATGATTATAATACAAATTTTGTTCTAGTTGTTGAGAGCAAGTGACTTTCTAATTTGATTGTTTCTTCACTTATGTATTCCCTTAAAGTATTTGGTTCTTTTTCCAAAAATATCCTTTAGATTTCATCTATATGGTATTTGTGAATGATGTTCTGTATAAAATTTAGATTTTCTGGTTACTAGAATTGCCCATTTTAGTGGGGAAGAAAAGAAAAAATGAGAATTGGTCTATTCTTCAGTTTGCCAAATGTTAATATCAGTTACAGGTTTTAGAATCAGTAAACCTATACAGAATCAGACCTGTTTTAGTATTGAACTGCAGTTTATGTGTAATGTATTTGTAATGCTCTCATTTTTAATTTCTGATTGTTGTATTTTTCCTCTTATTTAAATTCTGACCATATTTTAACAGTATTCTATAAGAACTGCTCATTGCAAATACAATAACATATCATTTGTCTGTAAGTTGTTTGATATCACTGTTCCTCACTTGATATGAGTAAGAAAAAGAAAAAACACTTTGCATCTCCAGATACAAAATTATTAATTCTTAAATATTTTACAGCAGACATTCTTTTTGAAAAATTATTGTATATCTTATCACCAAAGTTGTTTATATAAATAGAAAAGAAATATAAGACCCAGTCTGTTCTTCAATTTCACACATTTCATTGGATTAGACTAATTTTGAGGAGTTGCACCTCTCATCAATAACTTTTCATATGGCTACAAAATTGTTGTATTTTATAAATGACATTACAAGCAGCATAAATATAATATACAGCTCACCACTATAGAGGTCTGTTTGTTTGTTTTGGTTTGCCCCTGTTCAAGGTTAATGGAAGGAATGGAATTCCTTGAAGCTGCTCTTAGTAACTTGGCAAACTTAAGATTATGGCCTCCAAATTCTCTTTTGTCAAAATGCACAATTTTAATAACAAAGAAAATTAAAAACTTTGGAAAATGAGTTTGTTTATTGTTGTTTTCAATAAATTATAATGGATCTGTAGGCATTGTCATAGATATAAACGAAACACAGGGATGATTAATGTAAGTAGTGCCTGGTAACCTTCTCAGAAGATTTCTTGAAACTGATATTTTTTCCTTACTTCATTTCTAACATATCTTGATACATACATCATTTCACAAGCTACTGTCTGTGCTTTTTAGTTTCATATTCTTTGCTTTAACAATTAAATTTCCAAGATTAATTTGGTTTTTAATTTGCTGTTCTACATATTGTTCAAGTAGAATACAGTATGTATGATATCACTAGTTACAATTTAGCATAACAAATGAAATATGTAATAATCTTAGGACTTCAATAATTTTTTGTTTTTCTTGTTAGACTTATTAGCTTCTTCAATATCAATATGTCATTTTTGCTGCTCCAAGATATAGATAGTAAAGTACATGGTTAAATCACCCAGACAAGTTCATCCAGTTCAAATAAATAAATTTTGATATCAACTAAACTCATCCTACATAATTGTCTTAGTAAAGAACCTTTTTACTGTAATTATACAGAGGTACTTAAGGTTTTTTTGACACATGTAAAAAAATAGAATGATTATTCTGTATTGTATAGAATATTATTCTTTCAGCACTTTAAACGTCTTAGTAATAGAAACATGGAAATTTGAGATTGTGAATAAAACACAATTACTAAACTTTAGAATTAACAGTGGAAGCCATATTGATTTTTAAAACACATTTTTTCTAAATTATTTATATACAGTATTAGTTGTGAGTGCATGACTGTTGGTCGTAGGGTCCCTAATATCATATGAGTCACACAGTATTACCAATATTACAACTCCACTAATTACTACAAGGGGTCTCATACATATTTTTTACATAGAATATGACTGACTGCACTCAATGTTTTGGTTAGTTCTTTACTTGGTGTTGTAACAGAAGAAAACATACTTACTAAGTATGAAGCAGTACGTCTACCATGGTGGTACCTCACAGAGAATGGTATAGAAATGAGGTGGTAGTTCCAGGGTTAATTTATTATTCCATTAGAAAAAGTTATTCATGAAATACACAGCCAAACATTACATCTATTAACTTGAAATTTTACTACACCAAATCGTTAAGGTACTCAAACTCTATTCTACTTAGTTATATTTTTAAAACTAATGTACAGCGTATGTAACTGAATTTTCATAAGAGTTGCCTCTTATAGTTTTCACATGCATTTCTAATTCAAATTTGTATATAATTATTGTTCTACACCCTCATATATAACTTCGTTTTTTTTTCTTTTTTTGTTAATGGCACTATTAAAATCTTTGTATATTTATTTCTTGGTTTGTAACAATTTTCAAAAGGACTAACTTCATGATGATTTGGTAATGAACTTACAAAGGACTGTCTTTCTTTAGCTGTACCCAGGTAGTGATAACGTTTATATCACATTGTCTACTAATGTATACCCAAGTATACACAATATTAAATTTATTTAAATTTAATCCAGATATTAATAAGGATCAAATGCATGCATTTATAATTACTGCTTTGTAGTTTGATTTTTGTTATCGACATTTTCAGAGTTACCATCTCTAACTTTTCTATACAGTAACGTTATTCAAATCCATCAATATTTACCATCATGTTAGCTTAAGAGTAACTTTTTATAATTATGTTTGGTTTGTGAGTATATTTTATAACAAACAGACAAAAAAAGCTGTGTACAAATGAATGTCATTTGGTTGAAGTAAAATGAAATATTTACACATCTAAGCAAATATTATGCAGATAAATAAGATTTTCACAAATATTCATAGTTTTGTACTAACTTTATTTTTTTAACATATGTTTGGTGAAAAATGTGGATATTAACTTTTTAATCTAGCTACTGAAGTATAACTGATACAGTTTTTATTACTTATAAACTAGTAATTGGTGAAAAGTAGATGGGTGCCTCATTTTATACCTGTAAACAAGTAGTTATAATGGAAACAAGAAAAAATAAAGGCTTAGGATGCTTCAAATACATTCATTAGGGAATGGAAGAAATATTAAAAGCTCTTGATATTTCTATAAACTAATATTATTCATGGAAAAGTAAGAATACAGAACTTTGACTTTTGGAAAACTTAATGTATGTATATAATAAGAACAGGGGCTTTGTCAAATAATATTTGATGGAAAATAGTAAAGTAAGTTGTTCATCCTTATAAGTGAATAATACTTAGGAAAAAAGGAAAATTTACTGGGAAGTGGAAGGGTATTTGTGTTTAAAATATGCATCTTATCATTGTATACGTAAAGATTTAGTTGTTTCTTTTATCAAAATGAAGAGATATATGCTTTTAAAAATTACAAATATAAAGGGATAGCAAGAAGGGGATGAACTTTTTTTTGAAAAATGTTTTAAAACATGAATGCGGGTTGTTGGTTACCCCCCACCAAATGAGTATTGTGAATTGAAATTATATAATTTTGCACTTGAAATACGAATATGGAGCTTATCCCTTCAGATTTTTTTTATGCGTCAAATTGCTTGTGGGTGTATGACTTTATGGATTACTGAGACCTTAATGATAATATTTAGACAAAAATACCACTCATCCCTCTAATGATTACCTTATGTATTTTACATATAATGTGTGATTTCGTTCATTTTATTATTATTAGCGTTTATATAGAGTGTTGTAACTATTCAAGAAAGCCAATGCCATAACAACCCGAGTGCTCTAATGGTTAGCTTGCCGAACTGTGGAACTGAGATTCCGTGGTTTGCGTTCCATAACCACCAAAATCGGGCTTCGCACTTTTGGGCTATGGGTGCGTAATAAAATTGACGATCAAAAAGTACTAACGGTGGATGGAGTTGATTAACTGCTTTTCCTCCAGTTTATCATTTCAAAATTAGGGGCGACTCGTGTAGCTTTGTGTGAAATCCAGTAAACAATTGGACGCTACCATAACTGCTGATTTAAAGCGTTTTATAAATTTAGCCGCCGTTGATAAAAACCTGAAGTTTCATCTTCTACGTGCTTAACATATTTTTATATGTATTTAAAGACGTTCCATATGTAAACACGTTATTGTATTTTATACTTACAGCTTATTGAACGCTAAATATGTCTTACTCTTATAACACGTGCTTTAATTAATAAAAGGCTTTTGTCACCATAGTCTATGTCGCTTAGCAACTAGTCTAATTACGCAATTGGAATTGGCACAATAATTTACTTGTACAAGTACGCAAGGTAATTGCGGGAAGTTGGGAATCCTTTATCAATGATTTACTGCAACAACCAATTGTAAGACTGGCTTTTTTTGCATGGTAAGATTAGGTCCGTCCTCACGCATCTAGTAATTGGGTCTTGATGCTGTAATACAGTATCAATATGTCAAAGTTATTAAAAAGTTCTGCATTTTAGAGCAAAAGTATTATAAGTTGTTCATCTAGAATCGGATTCATTTTTAGGCTAACTCCGTTTAGTTCGACTTAAAAAAAAGAGCAGAAGAAAAGTGCTTTAGAACAATCATGTTTAACTCTAATATACTTTTGAAAACGTATCGGAAGAAAAGAACAAAAATATCATTTATATTAAATGCACTATATTCTGACAACTTAGCATTTTCTGTAATTAATACTTCTTCCCCAACCCTCCAGTTACTCAGCAATAAGCCTGAGGTTTTATAAAACTAAAAATTGGTTATCCATACTTGTGGTTGGTACAGCAAAGAGCCTATTGTTTAGCTTTATGCTTAAGAAAAACCAAATGTATTTAATTAAGAGGCGTCGCTAGACACTAGCACATGAGGCTGATGACTGTTTCTATTTGACAATGCCCCGAATCCTTAGTTGGTGTCTTGAAAAATCAGAATAGTAAACCATGATCGATATCGTACTGAAACGTCGAAAATTCCCTTGCCTAACGGCCCGAATCTTTGAAGTAGCTAGCGATGCCACTGCTTTAATTAATGTTTTTCTTATTTTGTTTAAATAACTTTATACTTATGTACCATTTGAAACCAAATAAGAGAATGAAAAATTTGCAAAGCTTTCATTGTTGTTTTCAAAATTTACAATTTATATAAACAGGAAATCCAAGAAACATTATCATGTTAACCAGTTGTCAAAGGACTTGGCCCGATAAAGATAACGCCGCTTCTATGTATAGTTGCAACAGACAAAACATAACATTACTCAATAGGTGGGTCCCACTGTTACTGAAAGTAATAAAAACAAGTTCTTAAACTTAGGAACGAATGTTATTAATGTCTTACTTGTAGACGTCTCTGGCTAATGAACCGAAAGCATAGAGTGAAATTAAAAGAAAAATTGTGATGCTATTAGTTTAGAAAATAAAAATATTTTGTTGAGTAAAATGAAATTTGCTTTTTTATTCTCATTTAAGTAATTGCTAGAAAGATGGGTAATATGCGGTTGGTTTGTAAGTGAAAATAGATATTATCTGCTGCAGCAACGGAAATTATTTATGTGTGACAATTTTCGAAGGAAATAAGATATTTCAAAAATTATATTTATGAACGTTTTATTCATGTGAACGAATAATGCTTGTTGGTGACAAAAGGAATGTGAAGTTTTTATTGTGTAATTAATTATTCGTTCGAAAGATATATCATACGGGATTTGTTTTGTTTAATATAAGCTTTTCCAATTCTTTAAAAATACAATGGCATTTGGTAGGAACAAGAAATATATTGACACAAGTTTTTATATTGATTGTACATAGTAAAACTTTTGTTGACAACGTTTCACCGGGTTTACCTGGCATCATCAGGTGAATTTTAAAAGAACATAGTTCTGATGTTTATTTCAAGAAAATATTGTTGTTACTTTTATGTACAGTGATATTCTTCAAAAAGAATACTATTGTGAATAGATATAGCAGAGGATAGACAAATGACATAAGTGAACAAATAAAACAGAATTTTTATTTATGTGCAGAGTTAGACTTCTACTAAATTGACCGGCTTTGACTCCAACAGTAAGATTGCTACTGGAGCTGAAAAGCAGGATCAAGATGTCTTGATCATAGAAAAACAGGTTCAAAGCAAAAGAGATAGAATTATGAAGTTTCCCTATTTTGATGTCATAGTAAGGTATCTCACAGTCTTTTGGACTGCTTAAGTCAACAACTATTGCAAATAAACATTCCAAGAAGTAAACTTTCAAAATGATACAAATTAGACAAGCTTCTGTGAAATAGCCATTGTAGGAAGTGAATTAGTGCTAGCTTACAAACTTCGTGTACCTATATTTGTTTTACCGAGAACATGCTAAGTACATACAGAATCTGATGGAATTTAGAAAAACAATTTGAAATAAAGATATATTTTATATTAGTTATAGAAGAGTAAAGTATAATGATATTACTAACATTATTTTGTTTTTTTATAAATAAGATTAAAAATGCATTAGCTCTAATTATTTGAATGATGTTTTGTACAGATACTTAGAATATGAACTTGTACTAAAAATA